ATACGTATAGTTAACTGTATTACTACCCTAGTAAAACTAATAATATAAGATATTAAATAATAATTAATAAATAAATAAGCTATAAATAGAGAATATTTAGTATAAGTACTATAGTAATTAATTATATTCCTAGTACTAAAAAGATATATTAAATATATTAGAATTATATATAAACTAGCTAGTAAATATATAGCTACCTTATAGTAAATTATTAGGGAATAAGTAGTAAATTAGCCTTACTTTTAGGGGTAACTTTACTAATAATATTACTAGGATTAGCCTAGGATTTATAACTAAGAAATAGGGGGTTTTCCTTATTCCTACAGCATTTTACTATAGTTACATAACACATAACACAATTAATTAATTAACTATTACAATCCCTACGATTTAACAAAATCTATTTAAGAAATGACTAGCGTATTTGCAGCTAATTGCCCCACATTGATCCAGGCACATGCGACCATTTCGCCCACTTTGACAAAATCCATCTGACCGGCGCATTTGCGGCCAATTGCCCCACATTGATACGGGCACGTGCGACCATTTTGCCTACTTTGACACAACTATACACTGGTTTAATCCGCTTACATCCACTTTGAAGGCCAACCGTAGGGGGTATAGCGGCCTTGTATCAGCTAAGCCCATCATAGTAGGCAGTCAATCAACCCACCCACCTATCTACCTACCTAGTCAGCCAAGCTTACACCCAAGCTTCCTGCTGACGTACATGACTGCCCCTACTTTTGCTAGTATCTAATCTAGGTTTCTGCCTGTAAGCTAGACCGATTACAGCGTCTGCTATATCCATTACAGTTAGCCTATAAAGTAGACGTGCGCGACTTAAACCAGTGTATACGGTACTTTCGCCACATTTGACAAGAGAAATCTTTCTGAGAGATGACTGGCGCATTTACAGCCAATTGCTCCACCGTGCGCTCGGGCGCACGCGGCCATTTCGCCCACTTTGACAAAATTCACGTGTACTTTTGCCACATTTAACAGTTACACATACACATACAACAACACAATTAATTAACTATTATAATCCCTATCATTTAACAGATCCACTTGTTGATTGCGACATAGAGTTGTTGAGGTCATACGACCTGCTTTTATGAAACACGCTTGCCAAAAGTTCGAGGAAGACGGGCATACGGACAACAGGGAAGCCGCTTTCTCAGCTGATCTCACCGCAATAGCAGGGCTTCCATTATGAAAGCTTATTCAGTGGATCGACTGCATTTGCGAAGCACGATGCACGACTCGTGCCCCTATCCTGCCAAGTCTGATCCGCAGCGGATGAAGCATCCCGGATGAAGCGGCTACTTCCATATGGCAAGAATTGCCACTCACGCACCTCGGAGACCGCCTGGACTGCGGAATCCCGCTCAGTTCCTTCCAAGTATCGTTGAATAATCGTATGGCCTATTCAAACTAAATAGGGTATCGAAGGCGAGACAGACAATCTCCGAATAGCGAAGATGGACTCTCGAATCAATGCACGTAGTTTTGACGAAGCCGATCTTCAACTTGACAGGCACGGCACCCTGACGTGCATTGTTCGGCCTTTGTATCTGCGATAATCCATGGTTGACCTTCACCTGCCCTGAGAGTCTCCAACAGGGCCACACCCGGGCATGGTTGCTACGTGCCCGGATAGGTTTGCCGGTGCACGCTTTCTCGGCCCCAGGTCTTTCAGCTGGATTCCGCGTGACACAGCTTTTCTGGTGGACATTCCCGGACAACAACAGTGTCCGCCTCCAACTGAGCCTACGAACATAATGCCAATCCCTACATGCTCGGAGAGAGGGACATTCTTGCACCTCTAGCCGAGCCAACAATTGCAATGATACTCGGACTCGGACTTTCTCAATCGTTTTGGTTATCCCACTGAGTGCCAGGTGACCTCACATATCCTCTGACCAGTAAGAGTGCCACAATCCAGGCTAACTGTCCAATAGCTATCAGTAATTACTTGTAGAGATCCACTTTTGGGTTATGTGAGGTCACTTGGCACTCAATGGGATAGTCCTTGACGGGTTGGGATGTGCTCAGAGTACAAGTGTGAGCGGTAGGACGAGGCGTGACGACAGAGTCAGTTGATTGCGCGCGCGACGGACAATACGCTGTGCGAGGGGTGGGGACAACCCCTCTCGGTATCCCCTTGTCCCTAGGCAAGGGAAGATTCATGTTACACTAGGTTGCAAAAAGGTACCCTGGGTTGACAACAAGCCTGCTGCATGCATCATCTATCATGAATTGACAGGCTTGATACGACACGGTACCGTGCGTACTCGGCAGAGATATCCTGTTCATTGATTAATGTATGTTTCCAACAGTATTAGTAGGGTTCTTGAAATCGATATTGCTCAAACCAGTCGATACATGAACTAGCCAGTTCGGCACCAGTGCAGCGGATCGCAATCCGTCGGCTTAGGGTGCGATCGGTATCTGAGATAGCACTGGAATAACAGAAGTCACTGGTGTAAAGAGTACACAAGGGTTGGGGTTAGCTGGAGTTTAATGCAGAGTGAAGGTCTAATTCATACTTGTAGATGAGCCTTGCACATGAGGTATTATTAGAATAGCACAGCTAGTTGTAAGTAGCACTACCTGATCCAATGGACTAGTAATGTACAGGGTGGCAGGGGTAAGTTTTTTCCCCCTATGATATTATCCCCCATAGCTGACATCATGATAGAGGGGGAATATTCACCAAAAGTGAAGTTCTGTAGCAGGGGGGTGAGCATTAGTTACCTAACAGGGGGAAAAAACTTCGGCCGGATACCATCGTACTAGGTGAAGCTAGGAGGGTCTATTTGGCTAGCTAGTACGGATATTATCTGTGATAAGATAGAGTTCTGTAATTTCGAACTATAATAAACATATCACTATTTTGAGCCTAGTACGATATGAATCGAGTTTGAGGGTACTTCTAGTTCCTTTCTATCCTAGTATTAACCACCAAACGATAAACCCCACATGTTCGAGCGAACTTCTTCTGTGTTATGGTTCGCAGTTCTTGATATGTCAGTAGCTTCAGCGAAAAATTCTAAGCGGGTAGACATATTCCATTTCGTTCGCCGCACTGAAGGTTGTTAAAGGGACTCCTTCTCTAGACCGGCTTACCTGAACTTGGATGTCCTTGGCCTACAATCAGCACCGCACAGACAGATCCAGAAACACTCTGTCATCGGTATACTATGTAAACGGTGATGGTACCCGATAATGGCAGCGTGACAGCTGGTGGGCATCCACAAGACCCATGGGTCCCACTCAATACCCATCGTGCTAGTCTGTCCAGTATTCCAGCGATATAGCTTCAAACTCCTTCGGTTTCATACGGTCGTGGTATTAGCTGATGTTAGTCCTCCCCCATTATCGGGTTAAAAACCCTCTTCCTTGTCACTTCCTTTTCTTCCCTTCCCAATTTGGTCTCGGGCTGTCTTGCAGGTACTTCTCACTCTTAAGCCCCTTTAAATGTGGTTACACCTTACTATGTAGCTCCTGTAGTGCTCACTTATACCTACTATGTATAACTAATATCCATGCATTCTAACAACCAAGATCCTAGTAGTCCGGTAAGATCCAGACTGCTATTCATAAGTATCATTAAGCCCTATTGTCTCAGCAGGTACCCCTACTAAAAGAACCATACTTGTGACACTAAGCACAATGATCGCTATTGCCTCTTGATCACGACCAACTTGAACAGATACTACGCCCGACACCTTCTGCTTACCCTCAATAGAGAAGGGGAAGGAGAAAATAGACAAAGAGATAAGACGAGCGACTTGTGGCCCACCGCAAGACACTACGTGTCCCGTCAGTAACGACGCAACTTCCTGGGGTCCTCTCTGCGAACACATGCGAGTCAACCATCGTCTTGTGGACCTCGATTGCATCACCGCAGTCTCCACTTTTCCAATTGAATTGCGCCAGATTAGCCTTTCCCTGACTTTTGGACATGGCCACCAGTTATCCAGGCCGGCATGCTGCTCTTAACAATGAGAGGCCAATGTGATTTGTCGCTTGCGGTGCCACTCATCCGTCAGTGGGCTACTCTTTCCCGCACTCTTGAACTCAAAGAGTCGGCGTGGTCAGGTCCTCAAAAACTATAGCCTATATCTTGATCGAGTGACACTCTTATCATGTTGTTCCCAGAATACGATGCCAGACTAGCTGCCTTGACGATTGAACATGGATCCACAAACTGCTATGCTCCCAACCAGGGAGTTCTTAGCTTTACAGTGTGACGATACGAAACTGAGGCACTGTTATATTCTGTTCCTGTTCGCTCTTTCGGAACATTGTTAACCATCGTCTGGGCCAAAGCCTGTCCCCTGACATCCAAGCCCCTACTGAGCAGATGAACAATAACGACTAATATGAGTCGAGTTGCCTCTAGCTTGCGTCTTTTGCGTCTTGAGAACTTGAGACCTGGTGAGCTGAATGGGATGTCACCTTATAAATTACCCATGGGCTGCCAAGCTGTGGTGCTGCATAAGCAGCCTATGAGCCGTGTCATGAACGCACAGTGCCATCCGTACAGAGGTATGCCTGGAGCCACTTGACTACAGTACTATTCTTACTACAGATTCATTAATCTCCACTTGGAGTCCCCACGTATATGTTGTGAGACACGCAAAGCCGAGGGAGATCAGGAGTGCTGCTGTTCGGTGGGGCCGCCCATCTCCAAGGATCAATCCAGCACGCCATCCCTACCTTTCTCAGGCTACTTCAGGCATGCAGAGTCCAGTTAAGCCAAACATGGTAATGCTTATTCATTATAGATAGACGAGGCCCCTCGGAATTTGGTGGGCTTTTGGCTGGTCGAGGTCCGGCAACCAATCCACGTGTAACTAATCGCATCCAGACCTTCGAGGGCAAAACCACATCGCCGTACGCAAGTCATAGCAAACAGCGTTTACTTTTATAATCCTCTTTGATAGAGGTAGTCTTGTCGTTGACGACCTGTGAACAATCTCATCGCAACGATGGAATTGCCCCCGGGAGTCTTCGAAAGCGACTCGCGAGCATCGACAGCCATTGGTGTTGTTAGCACCGTCCTCTCAGTCACCTTTCTTGTCGTTGCGTTACGGATATATACCAGGTTATGCATTTTGAAACAAATTGGAATGGACGACTGGGCGGCCATGTTCACCCTTGTGAGTTTGGACAAGACTTTGGTCAAATGATCAAAGAGCGCCAAGCTTACCTCTGGTTGTTTAGTCGATAGTCTTTGGCTGTGGCTTCGCGGTCGTATGGAGTGAGTAAACGTCCCCCCGCAACTCTTCCGACGCGGTTCATTGATGGCTGACATCCTTAAGATGTAAGAAATGGTCTCGGTCGCCACGTCTACTTTCTTTCCCCAGAACAGATCAAGGACTATATGAAGGTTTGTCAATGTTCAAACATGTTTCCATGAAGCGTTTTGCTGACACTCTCTAAAGACGTTTTACACATCAATCATCCTCTATAATGCTGCGCTGGGTGGCATCAAGATGACGTTCCTTATCCAGTACTACCGCGTGCTCGCCGTGAACAAGATGAAGAAGATCTTTATAGGTGCCATGGTCTTCGTCGGAGCGTGGTCCGTGTCGCAGATGATGGGCATGATTTTCATCTGTTGGCCTATTGCCGCATTTTGGGATAAGAGTATCCCCGGGACCTGTCTCCCCAACTTTCCGCTATGGTACTCCAATGCAGCTGGCAACATCTTCACCGACATCCTCGTTCTCCTTCTGCCATTGCCAGGTATCAGCAGATTGAAGCTCCGCAGAGGCCAGAAGTATGTTCTTCTTGGCATCTTCTGCCTTGGGTTTTTGTACGTAAAAAATGCCTTTCCACGCCTAACATTCACATCCACTAATGCAGTTGTCGAAAGCACATGCATAATCTCGGTTGTCCGAATCCGTTTCCTTCACCTCGAAGTAGACTTCACATGGGAAAATGTTGAATCGTCGTGCTGGTCTGTTGCCGAAGTCTGCTCCGGCCTGACCTGTGCCTGCCTCCCAGCTTGCCGCCCCCTCGCCTCTCGCTTCATCCCCGCTCTGTCCACTCGCACCACCAAGTCTTCAACTCATCGTTCGCATGGCAGCTATCCAAAGAAGACAGGAAACAAGTCGCAGCAGCGGGACCTAGAGCTCGGCGAATCGGCAAACCTAAGTCACCGCTTGGAGCTCAATCCGCACCGCCGCCTCAAAACTGCAGACAGCAAAGCCGAATTATATACCACAGAGGCTTACAACACAAGCCAAGAGGACTGGAGCCACGAAGGGGCCTTGCCAGTTCAATTGCACTCAGCGCTCGAACATCCAAGCAGTACGAAAGAGAGGATGCCACTGCCTGTCCGGCAGCAGAAACCCGCTGGGAATGACGGATACAAGTCCCGTGACGACAGAATGGTAGAAACACGCATCGAAGCAGGTTTAACGGTTCCTGACAGTTCACAACCGAACAAATCCATTGAAGTTACCCGTGATATTGTACAAATATCTTCGTCAAAGGTAGAGGAGAAGGTGTTTGCGTAACGTGGACGTTAAATAATGATGTGTGCTTAGATGGGTTATTCATAGAGCTGTGCTCATGATTACAACGCACCAATAAATAGCGGAGTTGTGCTGTGCTTTCTGTAAATACTTTGTTATTGTGTAGCAGGTAGGATATCTAGCTTCAATAATTATACTTGCCTATAGCAGTCAAGAAGTATCAAATAATAAAAACAAATAAGTAAAAAAGCTATTAGATATGCTAATTAATAGGGGGCGTCGCAAATTAATACAGGGGCGTTGTTCTTACAGGGGCGTCGCCTTCTGTCTATCTAATTAGTTAAAAAAAACAGTACATCCCTACAAAGGCAGTAAACATGATTTCATTAATACCTTTACTATTGTATTATAGTATAATCTAATTAGCCTGTATAGGCATAAGAAACAGGCTTTACCTAGGGTCCTTTTTATAGCTGTAGGAAACTGTTAAATGTAGCGGAATTACACATGAATTAACTGGCGAATGCTGTTGAAGCGTGTAATTGGCAGCGATAATCCTTACGTTAATTAATTGTTCTGATTATGTGTGTGTATATCTATAACTATCTCCGCTGCCCACGGCCATTGCCAATCAGCCGATTAAGGGGCAGATGTTTAGAACATTATTTTCCCTTGTTTTAGGTAGCAAAATCCATCTAGGAAATAACTAGGGCATTTGTAGCAATTACCCCACCTTATGCCCTAGCGCGCATGCATTTTGCCTACTTTAATACGTCCTCTTAGATTATGTTGAAGCGCGTAATTCAGCAATAACCCTGTATTAATTGATTTTTCTGTTATATATGTTACTGTTATGCTATGTGGCTATTACTAATTAGCCTCCTTAAAGGGGTTAATACCTAGAATATTATTTCCCTATTATTTTAGGTTTAGATCCCTTATTCTAAATATGTCCAGAGAGTTAAAAAAATACAATACAAATGAAATACAATACAAATACATGTATTTGTATTTTTTTTCTAACACAATACAATACATATATTTGTATTTGTATTTTTTACTTTACACAATACAATACAAATACAAATACATGTATTGTATTATGTATTTAATACAAAAATATAAAAACAAAATACAAAATTATTAATTCCTTTATATATTAATATATACTATAATTAAGTAAGATATAAAAGTATAGTGGTATAACCTTATTAATATTATTATATATATTAGTTAATAATACTAAGACTTTTAACTTTATTACTATAAAAAGTATTTAAAAAAATGTTAATAATATTATATTTCTTTACTTCTTTAATATTATAATTTAATATAACATTTATATTACTTTCTTTTTATATATAATAGCTAAAGTAAATACTATACTCTATAGTGTTACTAATAGTGTTTTATAACCTAGTAAGTTAGTAATAGTAATAAATTAAAGATTAAAATAAAAAACAACTTACTTTAAAGTCTTTAAAGGTACTATTATTATTATTAATAATCTTATTATTATTAATAATCTTATTATTATTAATAATCTTATTATTATAGGTCTTATATAATAATAGCTTTAAGGTATTAGTAACTATAGTATCTTTATTATTTATAATAATATTATATAATATACTATAAGAGTTAAATACTTCTTAAGTATTATAATTTTACTTTTCTTATAATTATTATTATCTACGTTTTATATTTTCTAAGTTATTTAATAAACTAAGATATATAAAAGAGATAGAACTATTTAATTCTTTTATTAAGTTAACTAAATCTATAATATTAGGATTAGTAGTAGTATTAATTATAGTATCTATAGTATTATAATAGTTAACTTTTTCTTTTAGGTCTAAGTACTTCTTATACTAAAGTAGACTTAAAGATATAGTAAGATCTATTTAAAAACGTATTATTTATTAGTAATTAATATAATATAAAATTAGTAGTTATATATTAATACTATTAAAAAGTAGAGATTTAAATAATATTAATATATTAGTAAAGTAAATACTTACTTTTATAGAAATAAGTTTTATTAGATAAAGTATATACTACTAGGTTATAAATAATAAAGTATTTAAATATTATACTTATAGTCTAAAGTAATAAAGTAAGTGATATAATAATAAGTTAAATATAGTATAGTAATAACTAATAAGACTTAAATAGAGATTAAGTTAATAAAGATTTAGAACTTAGTAAACTAAAATAACTATAAGCTATATATATAGTAATTAGTAAGTAGTTACTAGCTGTATAAAGTATATTTAATATTTATAAATAATAGAAGTAAAATAAGGTTTATAATAAGAATAAACTATATAGTTTATAAAGTTTTAAAGTATAATTATACCTTAATAGAAACTAATATATACTATATAACTATAAGATATAATAAGTATAATAAATATATTCTAGTTATAGAAAATAAAGATAATATAAGTATAGATTATAACTATAAAGTATAATATAAAAAAAGAGTTCTTAATAAGTATAAATATAAAGTAAAAATTAAATAATTATAGATTAAATATATATTAAATACTATAATAAGATAAAAGGTTATAATACCTAAAGTATAAAGCTTATATATATTAGGTAACTAGTTTTAATACTACTATATATTATAATATAAAATAATATTAATAGAATAATGTTTATAATATATTATATAATATATAAAAAGAAAGAAATTAGAAAGTTTTTAAATCTTATAAGTCTTATAAATATAAAAGGTTACCTAGTTAGGTAATTAGTAGGGCTAGTAGTTTACTTACTTAAATAAAAGAGTAATTTAAAAGTAAACATTTTAGTTTTATTTTCTATTAAGCTTAACCGTAATAATATAAGATATATTTTATATATTTCTTTATACTTCTCTATATATATTATACTATATAATACTTTAAATACTATAATACTTAATCTCTAAGATATTATAAAACTACTACTTTAATATATAGAATATAATATAATACTTACTAACTATTATATATATAAATTCTACAGACTAGTAGAATAGTAATATAAAGAAATTACTTGTATTATTTATATTAGCTAGTTAATACTTAGCTATACCTTCTACTCTTATTATAGTAAAAAGTAGCTTTAATTAATTTGGTAATATTAATACTAAAAGAAGAACTAATTTGTTTAATACTACTAGAAAAAGATTAATACTTATAAAGAAATAGTAAGAATCTAGTAGTTTAGACAATCTAGATAGTATATTTAATACTCTTAATAAGTTAATATATATAATAATCTCTTAAATATAAGATTTAAATACTTTTTTCAAAATAAGAAATTAGTAGTATAAAGAAAAAACATAATTAGAAAATTTAGAATATAAAAAGAATTTAAGTACTAAGTTATATATATTTATATTAAGTTATTATTAGCTAAATATACTTAAATAGTCTTTATTAATTAAAAAAGATCTTAATATATAATAAGAAGTTTATTATTACTTAAATACTAATCTTATCTTACTTATATAGTTTAAAGTAAAGCTTTACTATATAAAATATTTAAATTATATATAGATTAAATAGTTATATAATACCTAAATAAAAGTACTTAAATAGAGTTTATTACTTTTATATTTAATAATACTAATAATCTTTACTTATTTCTTATTAAATACTTATATATATATCTTATAGTATTTATAATTAGAATATATAGTATTACTAAGTATAATAAAGTTCTAAAAGTATAATTATACTATAAAATACTAATATTTATTTTATATCTTGTATTGTTATATTAAATACAAAATACAATACAAAATACAATACAATACAATACAAATACATGTATTTTTTTCTTAATACAATATAATATAAATACATATATTATATTTGTATTGTATTGTATTGTATTTGTATTGTATTTTTGTATTGTATTATATTTTGTATTTTTCTTTAACTCTCTGTCTATATAGTGCCCTAAGGTAGGAGGTTAGCAGTAAGCTTAAGGTTATTTAATAAATTAAATAGTATATCTTACTAAGGATTTACCTTATCTATTATAATAAGCTAACTACCTAATTACTTACTATACTAGTTATAATAAAGGTAAGAGGTTCTTAGGTTATATAATAAGGTATTAATAAATAAAGTGCTTATATTACCTCTAAGTACTAGGTTTAGATTAGTAAGTGCCTAGTAGATTTTATCTTATTATAAGAGTAAGGTTAGGCTATTTTACTTCTGCTTTAGCTAGTAATAATCTACTGTTAGTAAATAAGTTAAGGTAAATAAGGTTAGCTGCCTTTATAAAGTAGTATTAGCTATTATTTATAATAATATTAAAAAAGTAGTAAATAAGGCCTAATTAATTATTAATCTCTCCTTAAGTAAGATATATTAACTAGTAATATTATTAATAGATTTAGGACTTTTTATTTATAAGTTAAAGATAAGCTATTTATAGTATGTAAAAGTAATATCTTTTCTAGTCTATATATAGAAATTAGCGTTAAGAAGGTCTACTAATTTAGGTGTAATTCTTCTTTTTACTAAATTAATAAAGACTTTATTATTAATAAGGTAATTATAAAATATTAATAATACCTTAGTGCTTATAGCGTTAAAGGTAGTAATAGTCTAATCTATAAAATCTAACTAAAAGGTAGTAAGAAGGTAGTAGTTATAGAGGTTAGCGTCTAACTATATAGTAATTATATATATTATATATAATCTAACTTTATAGGGGTCTAACTTATTAAGATTAAAGTTAATATAGTTACCTTATGTTATTAGATTAATATAGTAAATAAAGGTAAGTAGAAGAGGGAGAGGCTATAGGAGGTAGAATAGTAATAATAGTAATAGTAGAGGATATAAAAGGGAATAGATATTTATTATTTATTAGTTTAATAGCCCTACTATTACTAGTAGTAGCTCTCTATTTTTCCCCTTTTTATTTATTATTAATAAGAATTTAGTTAATATAGAGTAAGGGAGTAAGGAGGTAATAATAATAAAGGTTAAATTTATAGAGGATTATTTACTAATAGGCTAGTTAATCCTCTCTACTCCTAGTAAAATAAACCTTACTAATCTATTTAATAGTAGTAATCTTATAATTTAATTACTAATTAGTGTTAGTTAAATTATATAAGAGGGATATCCTATAGATTACGTAACAAATTATAATATAGAATGTGGTTACTTATTATATTAGTTAGTTATAAAGTAAATCTAGACTTTTAGGTAGTATACTAGTGGTGAGGTGGATACTGCTGAGGGAGGCGGTGTGTCACGTAAATATCACGTGACCACCTCCCCCGAAGCATACCTACCGTATACCAACATAAAAATATATGTTTCTTAGTAGATCTTTCTAAAGAATACCCTTTATTATAAGCCAGGGAAGTATAAAAGCTATCCAGAGCAATAGAACAAGAAACAAAAATGGTCCAATCCAGCTGAGATCAGAGGAACACTCCCATAGCACGTGAAGAACACTAGGTATTAAGCGGGCCGTTTCGAACAGAAGATTTCTCAACAGCTCCCCAGAGCTTCTCGCCAGGTCCCATAGGAATGTGAAAAATGGTTTCACTACCCATATCAAGGCTTGAGGCGGCTTCAATATGACGTTTATAAGAAAAATGCCGTACATTCGCACCCACCACCGGTCATCCTCGTTAAAGGGGATTTGCGGCAGCTGCCCTGTTAAGGGACGGCTTTCATTGGCAAAAGTACCCTCTTCTACAGGCACGTTCAGTTAGTCAATGTCAAGTCATAACAGAGCATGAGGTCACTACGTTACCAGCTTCCCTCATCCGGCTCCAGTGAGGTCTAGAGGGTGGCGACCACGTAGGCCACGACCACTGAAGCAGGCTCAAGTTTGGGCCTGGTCCATTAGAACCTTGAAGATGGCCAATTTTTCCAAAGCTACCCTTGGCTCTTTGCATAGCTTGACGACACTTGTTGCTTCCTTGTAGTAGTCTTAGAAAACTGCAATTCTTGAGAGTGATAGGTTTATCTGTGCGAGGAGATCGGTCAAGCGCACAGATACTGGGGTAGGAAGATAACGAACGACCAAGGAAAACAGGCTACATAAGCGAGTAATCTGTCTTGGCATCAGCTGACATTGCTAGAATTGGTGTATGCAAAGGTGTGGCACAGCTGTCAGATGATACATGCAGTTAAGAGGGGTAGACCCACATGAGATGCTGGATTGCCTGAAGTTGATGCCTAAACGCCCCGTGGTAGCCTTTTCTGAAAAAGACACATCTGCCCTTTTGAAAGATAGGCTCATTGACCGCAAGATGGCGGAACTCGCTGCTATTGGGCTTGTGAGTAATCTTCTTCAATTTACAGAGCTTGGGGTTAAGCTCTTCATTCATGCACGAGAGGCCTATCGCACTGGCACCATTGTTCAAGATGAAGCTCTCAGGAGCGAGGTTCAGAGTGTGATGAACATGGCTACAACGATCTAAATCCTTTGTAGGAAATCGGAAAAGAATGATCTTACTATGCAGCTGCAAAGGCTAGTCAAAGAGTGCGATGACATAGCGGATGCCGTACTGGAGTTCCTTTAAAATATCAGCACCAAGGTTCATAAGGGAGAGAAGATCTACAAAAGGATATGGGCCAGCCTAGAGCAAGCGCTTAAGACGCTTTCCAACCAAAAGACAACAGCTGCTTTTGAGCAGAGGCTAGTGAAGCTCAAGTATGATCTTCAGTTTTACCTTGTTGGCGCTTCTGTGTACGTTTCCGGTTATATCGGCTGACGAGTATTCCGCTTGCTTAGAGAAAACCAGCTGATAACTAAATAGTCAAGCGCAGAAAGAAACAAAAGTCATGATTGAGAGACTAAAAGACCAAAATGACCGACAAGGTACAAGCACTACTGAACGGCTTGACAGAATACTCATAAGAATTGAGACATTAGCGTGCTCCCTCAAAGACCATGACAATGAGGAGTTTCGCGCCCACATCGAGAAGTTCAAGTCGGTCTTGGAAGAATTCCACCAAGCCAAGGCCGTGCTAGAAAGGCAGCATGATATTCTCAAGTCTCTACGGTTTGACAGGCTAAGAGCCAGGGAAAGCGCGATTCCAGAAAACTACAAAAATACCTTCAACTGGATCTTCCAAGAGCACATAACTAAATTTCCGCAATGGCTTGAATCTGAAAAAGACATTTTTTGGATCCGAGGGAAGGCTGGAAGCGGGAAATCAACATTGATGAAATTCCTCGTTTCTCAGGAAGGGCTGAGAAATTTGACGTCGAAACTGCAAGTCTGGGGTGGGAAGTACAGAGTCGCGGCAAGCAGCCACTACTTCTGGCATGCAGGCAACAGCATGCAGAAGTCCCAACTAGGTCTTCTCCAGACCCTGCTGTTCGTTATATTGAAGGAACTCCCGGATCACATCGAAACGGTCTGCAAATCACGCTGGGAAAGTCTATTCACATGCTTGGGGATTCATGGGGATTGCTTGAATTGATGGCGGCATTTGATGTGTTGGCTTCAAATCACAACAAGGACTTGCCAGTCAAATTTTGTTTCTTTATAGACGGCTTGGACGAGTACACAGGGGGTGCTGAGAAGTACCATGGCCAGTTTGAAGACCTTCTGGCGACTCTCTACAAGTTAGCCTCCTTGCCATCGGTTAAGCTATGCGTATCGAGTCGGCCGTGGCCTGCATTCAACGAGTCGCTTGGTCTCAAAGTGGGAGAGTGGCACCTCCAAGTGGAAGACCTGACGAGAGACGACATCAAGAGGGTGGTCATGGAAAGATTGTCAGCAACCCATGATTACAAGCGTCTCTCGAACCAGGACCCTCGCTGCTCAGAAATCCCCGCCGAGATTGTTCAGAGAGCACAAGGAGTCTGGTATTTGTTATGAGGCAAGGTTAATATAAGCGCTCCGACTACATATTACACCCCTCTACTATAGCAACATGTATATACAGACTAAAGGAAGCCGAAACAACCTTATCTGCTGTTCCAAATTACCCGCTTGCACCTAGCTCACAGGTCCCTCTTCCCTTTGACGATTGGATTGTAGTACCGGAAACGGTTAAATGGGTCGTACCTGGCTTTGAGATCACGAAGTCTCTTCAGACGCCATGTTTCGTGTCCGTAAATTTGCTCGGCAGGCTCGGGGCCGGCGGCATAGTTCACATATATATTAGGGGCCCGCTTCGGCTGGCCTTTGTTTCAATCGTCCCGCACCTCGTTGGCCCATTCCCTGGCAGCCCGCCTCACAAACCATGGAAGCCAAAGCGAGCGCTCAAGAACGCGAGCTTCGCGCAATAGCACGTCAGCTTCCACCTATTCCTCAGCCGCAACAACTTCTAAGGGCTACCTTAGTATAGACTAAAAGCCTAACTACCTTTAATCTAGTTCTTAGTTAAGGATTAATAGTATTTCTAAAAACAGTTTATATAAACGTTAAATTAGCTATTTTTAAGGCTAAAAGCGCTATATTATAAACTTAAAACCTATTTACTACGTTATTAACTATTAAGTAGCTAGCTAGAAATAAAATAGCTTATAATATTATAATTAAACTAAAATAAATAATAATACTAAACTAAATATATAAATATTTAGATTAATAAATAGCTAAAAACGTTAAATTTATAAATATATATTATACTATTTAAAATAAATTTAGGCTAGCTGAAACTTTAGGCTAAGAACCACCCTAAAGACTAAAGATATATTAATAAAGATTATCTTATCTTAGTTATTAAAACTAAGCCTAACTTCTTTTATTAGCTAGCTAGAGATATATTAGTTACTACTTTTCTAATACTAGCTTAAGTTGAAAATAAAAGACTAAAGTAAATTATTATAGCTTACTAATAAGCTAAAAGAAAAGTAGCTTTTATAAGAAATAACTAAAATAGAAAAAGTATTAAAGAATAATAGCTTATATAATAAAACTAAGAAGTAATAGCCTTAGCCTTATAGTATTTACTTACTAAAGCTAGATATTTTTTATTTTAGTAATCTTAATAACTAAAGCTAGTGTTTCTTTTTAGCTAACTTACTAGCCTAAGTAACTAGTATGTTACAGCTAGTTTCCAGACAGTAGGGTTTCTACTAATAGTAAGCAGAGGTTAGTACCTAGTTAATAGTATTCCTCTTCTTTATTATCTTTATTAATCACCTAGTAATTAATTAACGCTTAGGGTTATAAGGCAGCTTATATAGCTTCTTATTAATTAAATTACTAAGGTTAGATACTAAAAGGTATTTAGAGAATATATTATAAGTTAATTACTAAAAAGCTATAAGAGTCTGTCCTTAAGTACGTCTAAGTCTATCGTATATATAAGTCCTAACTATTCTCTAAATAGTTTCTTTAACTAATAGTTATAAGGTAGAATAAGCGCTTACTTAGGTATTTACTAAGCGCTTATCCTACTTATAAATAAGTGCTTATTTTTTTATTTTATCTTATACTTATAGTCTTATAACTTATACTATAGTTCTTTTATTCTAAAGAGGTATTTATTTATTTCTTATTTCTTATTTATATAAATACTACTACTGCCTATTATCCTTTATTAAGTAAGGTAATATAGCCTATAACTTATTAGGTTATAATATTAGGTCTTTTCTTTAAAAGGTCTTACTCTTAAGACCTATATAAGTAGGTTATGTCTTTTAGGTTAAAGAGTTATTAATTATACTTTTTTATTTTTTATAATACTAACACTATATTAGGTTATATAAAAGAAATAAAATTATAAGGTGCTTTTTTTATTATTACTTACTTTATATTATTTAACTTTCTAATAAAGGTGTTAAAATAATACTATATTTAAATTATTAGTCCTATAGTATATAGTATTTAATTTTTCTTAACTTTAATATTTATAACACTTATTATTATTTAAGAATATCTTATAATATATCTATAGATACTATTTATACTTATAAGTAGTTATTCTCTTTTAATTCTTTAGTTTTTTTTACTAATAGTTCCTTAGTAAATTATTTAGTAGTAAAGTCTAATTATCTTAATTATAAAGAGGAGGCTAAAGAGTTATATTTCTAAGAAAGAGCTATATTATTACGTAATAAAGCTAAGGCTTTCTAAAAGGCTTAGGCTAAGTTAAATAAGTTACTTACCTAGCTTAAGTAGCTTTATTCTTAGAAGAGAATAGTGTTTAAGAAAAGTTAAAAAGTGTTAGAGGAGTTTCCTAAGGATTCTAAGGTTCTTTTTAAACTATTAGGGGCTATATAAAAAGTGTAGTCTAGTAGTACTTTTAGTATAGTTAACTAAAGTGCTATATAAAGTAATTTAGACTTAGTAAGTTTTAACTTTAGTATACTTATAAAAGCTACTAAGAATATTAAAAGTTCTTAATTAGTTTTTATAAATTATCTTTATATTTATAATTCTTTTATTTAACTAAGTATTATTTTTTTATTTTTATAGTGTTAGTTAATAATTCTTTTAACTTTATATTTTAGTTTATATAGTTTAATAATAATATATTTATTAGTATTTAATCCTTATAGTACTAGTTTTAGTAGTATAATATAAAAAACTAAGTAAACTTTTATTATATTAAGTAAGTTAAGTTTATAGTTAATACTAAAGATCTTCTTAAGAATCTTAAATAGTCTAAGTTTTTTATAGTTAAGTTTATTACTTAGTTACTTTATTTTAATATTTCTATATAAGAAGTATATACTAACTTCTTTTTTAAAGGTTAGTCCCTTAATCCTTAAAGTATTAGTATATTTCTTTATTTATATCTTAATAAATTCTAAGTCTAAGGCTACTTTACTTTAGAGTTTTTTTATGTTATTAATATTAGCTATAGCCTTTAGTGCTTATAGGCCTTCTTAAAGTTTTTTATAAGTAATTAGTTAAAATCTAAAGTTTATATAAAATAGTAAGTTTTAAGTGCTTTCTTTAATAGCACTATTATAAGTAAATTAGGCTATTAGTAATAGTAATACTTAATTATCTTAGTTATAATTAATATAGTATTATAAATACTACTTAAGTATCTAATTAATTCTTTTTATTTATTTATTAGTTTATAAGTAAAATATAGTAAATAGTTTATAGTCTATACTAAGTTATAAAATTAAGGATTTCTAAAACTTTAAAGTAAGTAGCTTATTTTATTAAAAATAATTTCCTTTAGTAAACTATAGTTACTAATAATATATTTTAAGAAGGTATACACTAGGTCTTTTACTATACTTAACTTTAGGTATAGTATAAAGTAAGTATACTTTATAAGTTAGTTAATAATAACTAAAACGCTATTATAGTATATCTTTATAAGAGGTTCTTTTAACTTTAGTAGTTTAATAATAAAGTCTAAAGAGATTAAGTACTATACTTTTAGTAGTACTAGTAGTAGTTATATTTACTTATATAGCTTATAAGGACTATTTTTACTTTTCTTATATATCTTATAGTCCTTAATTACTAAAGCTACTTCTTTATATATAACTTTTTTATTATAATATTATCTAATTTATTTAAATACTTTTATAATTCCTTAGTGTTTATATACCCTAGCGCTATATATCTTATAGATTTATTTAGGTATTATTCTTTTAGTTATACTAGTATTACTATATTTACTAATTATAATAAGTTTTTAAGCTAGTATAATATTACTATTATTATTATATTTAAGGATAACTTATATTTCCTTTAGAACTAGGACTTTATAGTCTATCTTTCTACTTAGTGCGTCTACTTTACTATTTTTTATTCCCTTATAGTAAATAATTTCAAAGTTATATTCTAATAGAAATTCTAATAATCTAATTTATTATTTATTAAGAGCCTTTAATATAGTAAAGTAAGAAAGGTTTTAATAGTCTATATATATTAAAACTTAGTACTTAGTTCCTAATAGGTATAGTCTTTATTCTTAAAATACTTTAATAATTACTATTAATTCTTTATTATAGATCTAGTAGTTTAACTTAGGTCTATAGAAGGCTTTTAAGTAAAATATATATAAATATAGTTTTCTTTCTTTATTTTATTATCTTAGTTATCTACTTATAGTAAAGTCTTAGACGTTAGTTTTAACTTTAAATAGTTTATTTAAGTTAGGAATCTTAGTAATAGGTTCTAAAGAGACTAAGGTTTTAATTTTATTAAATACTTCTTTATATTTCTTAGTCTAGATAAACTTAATATTTTTATATATAAGTTATTAAAGCAGTTTTATTTTTACTATATATCCTTTAAGGAATTATTAATAAAAATTAATAAATCCTAAGAATAATTATATATCCTTAACGTTCTTAGGTATAGGCTAGTCCCTAACTACTTATATTTTCTTATCTTATATCTAGATTTTACTTAAGGTAATAGTAAATCCTAAGTAGTTAACTTTTTATTAGTAAAACTTACTTTTTTTAGTTTAACTAGGAGTTTAGCTTCTTAAAGCTTACTAAGTACTTAATATATATATTTTTTATATTCTTTAAGGTTCTTTAAGAATATAAAAATATTATTAAGGTAAT